ATCTCTAAACCAACCCAGCCTCCACCAAAACCATGACAACCACCACCTCTATGTCACCTAATGATCATCCGAACTAAAATGGGAAACACTAAGCCTAAAACCTTTCTTAGCCCTCTTCTCCCTACCGAACCCATATCCTATGTAATGGTAAAAACAAATCTTGTTTAGAGGCAAGCTATGAAAGCTAAAATTGATATCCTCCTAACCAATGGTACTTGGTATCTTGTTCCCTATCCTCAAGCTCTAAATATAGTTTGTTACAAATGGGTCTATCATATCAAATGACTACCCAATGGTGATATCGATAGGTACAAGGCGCGATTGGTGACTAAAGCCTTCCATCAAGGACCAAGTCTTGATTACATTGATACTTTCAATTTAGTGGTGAAGCCAAGCACAATTTGGCTTATACTCTCCCGTGTAGTGGCATACGATTGGCATGTGGAATAATTAGATGTCTCAAATGCCCGGGCAACTAAATACTCCGAGTGTATGTGGAACAACCACCAAGCTTCGTTCACCCTCAACTCCCCCATCATGTTTGTGCTTTAAAAGGGGCACATATGCATGATGCCGCCATCGTGCCACACTAGGAAGTCCTTATTCCCATTATCCGGACAATAGTGCTTTTGATAATCTCACACTATTTAGAAGCATTGTTGGTGGATTACGATACTTGACCTTAATAAGACAAGATGTGTCCTTTGCTATTAACCATGTTACTCGGTTTATGCATGCCCTTACGACTAAGCATTGGAGCTTTGTTAAACGCATTCTTCACTATCTTAAGGGTACAACAACTCATGGTCTATCCATTACCCCATCATTTTCTCTCTATATGTCAACTTACACGGATGCCGACTAGGGAGGTGACCTAGTTGATAGAAAGAGCACCACGAGCTTTGCCATTTTTCTTGACAAGTAAACTCATCTCCTTGACATCATGCAAGCGAGAGGACCATTGCTTATTCCTCTACCGATGTTGAGTATCGGGCCTTAGCAACTACAACATCCGAAGTCACTTAGCTACAATCACTCCCGCGTGAGATTGGGTTTCCACTTCAAACAACACTTATCCTATGGTGTAACAACCTTTCAGCAACCTATCTCACGGCCAATCCGGTATTCCATGCTTATTCAAAACACTTGAAGATTGACTTCTTGTCCAGGACAAAGTCAGCAAACGAAAACTACTTATACGCTATATCTCTATTGAGGATCGGTTAGCTTATGTAATGACCAGGTTCCTTCACAAATAAAAATTCTTCCATCAAGTTGCCAAGTCGATCGTTCTTCCATCCGATCAGCTTGAGAGAGGATGATAAGGATAAGTTTTAAGTATATATATTTGGTTAAAAGTTAGGTACAAGTTAGTCTTTGTAAATGAGTTAGTTTTTGTAACAATAACTCTAGCTTTTAGAGTTTTTCTATAACCGTAGCTTTATCCACGAAACTTTATTTAAATTGTTCATTACAATACAAACTATAAGTTAGTCTTGCATTTTATTCTTAACTTCTTCACCATTACCTTCGCATGGAAGCACGGGGTAGGCAGGAGTTAGAGTGGTTCTTTGCCTTCTTTACTCGAAATGATAGTTCCATGAAGGAGTTGATTCTTAGAAAGGAGGAGCACATTAAAGAATTAAGGGGGAGTGGTTTACTATATGTTACACTAGCGAGTTGGCCCATAGAAGGATTGGTGGATTGGTAGCTGAACCATTAGTTCCGTTTAATTATCAAATTTTGGTTCATCTAATTATATTTAAATGGAATAATTTTAAAAGAATTGAAAGTAGCATTGAAGGTTAATTTGCTTAACTAGATTTATGATTTTCAATTGGGATTTTGGAGGAGAGATAGACATGCTTGTAAATTTGAGAATTTTATCAATGGTAATATGGGTTACGTATTACCATAACAAAAAAAGGCATTATACTTAGGTGGTGTTTGATAAAACCGAAAATTAAATACTCGAATCTATTAAGTACTAAATTTTAAGTGCTAAATCGTTAAGTACCGAATATATTCCCGAAGAGTCTGTCTAGTATTTACCGAAAATTAAGTGTTGAATATAATAAGCTCGTTTAATAAGTACTCGTTGTTGAACATATTAAGGCTATGTATATGACAATTTTAACCTTATAATTGTAACATGATATTTTTTAACATAAATAAAAATATATACATAAATGTGTTTGTGTGTACAAATAAATAAATAAAAATTCAATAAAATGATTATGAATAAAAAATTAAATATGGTCTAAAATAACATTAATTGTCGTATTATTCATAAAATAAATGAAATCTCAAGTACTAATTAATTCATTTGTAATTTGGTCTAGCAAATTAATCATAAATATTTGATCGACTCGTGCTTGCAACCCTCCTCCGATGAATAGTAAATTTGCAATAAAATTTGATGTTTGATGCATCCTATAATCGTTATCAAATTGTTCAAAAAAACTATCATTAACAATCGTTCTTCGAAGATAATTATGTATTACAATACATGCGATAACAATATCTCTTTGAACTACAAATGGATATGAGGCCATTGTCTTTAGAATTAGAAACCTTGCTTTTAGAACACCAAATGCTCGTTCAATAAAATTCCTCAATTTTGCATGTGCATGATTAAACACCATTGCGAAAATCGGATAACCAATATTGTGTATTAAGATATGGTGCCATAAATTCTCTAGTATGCGCATATGTAGCATCACAAAGATAATATTTATTTGTCATCAAATATTAATATGATAAATTACATGAAAAATGTAAAAAATTTTGACGTAATACACCTAATAACGTAAAAAAACTCAAGGGAGTTTTTTTTATAAAAAAGAACTTAATAAGAATGAAAAAATCTACCAAGTGGAGGGATGGGAAAATTATTTGATGAGTCACGTATGGTTTCGTTAACACTCTTGAATCATGTGCTACACCTTCCCATCCAGCCCAAACAAAACTAAAAATCATATCAAAATCACATATTGCAAGGACATTTTGATAGTAATCTCCTCGTCCTCTCCCTCTAGATGAGACTTGTTGGTCGGGTGATATAACAACACGAATTAAAGTCTCATTAAGAGCACCTACAACACCCTATAAATAAATAAATAAATCTAGTTAATTTTAAAATACACAAACTAATAAAATTAGAAATAAAAAGTTAAATGTATAACCTAAAATACTTGACGAAGTTGACGATGATGTTGAACTTGACTTAAATCCGGATAAAATGAAGTAGGTACAACCATTTCTTTTGCAAACTTTAGTATTGCTTACAACACTTCATGGAAATAGTGATGCACTATTTGAGTTGAATGATTAAATCTTTATTTCACAAGCATGATTTCGAAAATTTTGACTTAAAGTTATAAAAAACATTGTCATTTTTTTCTTTAACCTTAATATAACGACTATCTCTCAACCATCCTTTTTGTTTGAAATAATCACATAAACTTAAGAATGCTTCTTTTTTCATTCTCAACATTTCTTGATAGTGAGCTAGATTTTCATTGAGGATCTCTAAGCATATATGCATGTCCTTCAAGAGTCGAATCTGTATCCGATCTTCTTTCAACACGTCTTCTATTAATCCTTTTCGGTATAAGAAGCAACAAAATAATCATTAAACTCTTTTTTTGCCTATTTTTCAACATGCTCGTTAATTAAAAAAAGAAGAAGCAAAAGCATGTATCAAAAAACCGACGAGAAACATAATTAAAGGAAAGATATTCAAATTGAAGTACTTTTATTCAAACAATAATTCTTATGAAAACCCTAGACAATCACAATGAAACCAATTATTCTAAAATACTAAACACAAATCATAACGAAAAATGTTTAATTAAAACAATGCCAACTTTTTAGCAACTATTTTGATCCATCCAATTCGACTTCCACTGGCTTTTGAGAAAGATTTATCCATTGCTCTCGATATGCTTTGCTTTCACAAAAGATAGCACATGCAGCTATATATAAAGGGTCATCCATTCTTAAAGTCTCCATCTCATCTAACTTCTTATTGCACTCGTTCTATACTCGGGTCCTTCGCATTCTTCTATACTCGGGTCTTTTAGATTCTTCCAATGTCTTCGCATCGCCACCAAATGATCATCAATGTCATCATCCTTATTCTTCTTTCGACATTTTTTAGGTTTTTTTATTTCTTCATTTGGAGTTGAAAATGGAGGTGGAGAATTAGACCCCAAATCAATAAATTCTTCAAAATTTGTTCCAATTGGTTTAGTTAGCATAGAAGAAGCAACTCCATTTATAGGCATTGTGTCTTTAGAAGGACCCCAACTATCTTTTCTAGTGGGTGAAATCCCATCAAATAATGATTTCATCTCATCCGAAAATTACAAACCAACATAACGAAACTGTTTTGCGTCATTATTGTTTTGTTACATAAATATATCAAATTAATAACATTTTTAATTGCTTTAAGCTCTACTAGGGAATGAAATGTCTAAAAGAAATAATACCTATTCATAATTGTCTCACTCTTGTGCAGTCCAATTGACGAGTATTAGTCACCTGGATCATAACCATGCCCACTTTTTTCTATTAGTTTTGACCATACTATGTACTTCTTTTTCAAATACGTCCACTTATTCTTCAATTGTTTTTGAGAAAACTTAATGCCTTTCTTTTCCTTTCACTATATTTTCCCATGATTCTTTTTTTTAAGCTCCCCCATTTTTTCCAAGAATACTCACTTGATCAATGCATGTATCCAAAAAAAATTTCACTAATTTGGGGTCCTTCCAATTGGCTCTTGCACCATCTTCGGAGGCCATTCCTACACATTATAAAATGATTATACCAGAAGCCAGATTACTATAATTTTAAAACTCAAATTCAAATCATAATCATTTATTATATTTATGTTTGGGATGTAATAATGTGATTGAACTTGTATGATTATTACTAAACGGGTTGTATACGGTATGTTTTACACATGTATAGCATTCTAGTCGGGAACTTCCTCAATGGCTCCATACCTCCGTCTTTGGGGAATTTATCGTTCCTCAAATACCTGTAAGTATCATGCATGATAAGCACATATGTCCATTCAGTAATATATAATGTGAATTCAATCCTTTTTGTGCTATTAATCTGGTGAGTGTTTTCAGGTCAAATTCCTAAAGAATTGGGGAACCTCCCTAATCTCCGGGGCATTTATAGAATCTCACTCACTCTTTCATTCTCCTTGAATTTTCATTATGTTATTCAGTTCTGGTTGGTATTTTTTTATATTTAATTAGGAGCTTGTGCGAGAATGTACTCACTGGTCGCCTTCCACCAGAACTTGAAAGATTGAGAGCTCTTTATTTTCTGTAATTTTCAAGAAGAATAATAATATTATGCCACTACCTACTAAAACTACTCAAGATAGGGTGAGAAGTATTTACTTTGTTGTTTATTGTAGAGATTTGACCTCCAACAATTTGATTGGAGAACAGCCGGGAACTTATGCCAACTTTACTCTGGAACTGAATTACTTGTAAGTGCAACTCATCATATTCTTTCAGCGGATCTGTTCTGTGGTCCAGTAGTTGTTGTTAAAGTAAAGGCAACTGATTTGCTGCAGTAGTGTAGCTGGGAACACCTTGACTGGTAAAATACCGAGTTTTATTGCAAATTGGACTCAACTCTCTGGACTTTAAGAAATTCTTAATATCTACCTTCAACTGCTTGAGCAGAAAAATTTTCGAAACAGTTAACATTAATTTAGGTGATTGTGTTTTTATGTACTGATTACAGCTTACTCTTCGGGAATGATTTTGAAGGGGAGCTACCTCCTGAAGTTTTTAACATGTCCAATCTCCAATTCTTGTAAGTGTTTTATAATTTTCATACGGTGAAAGAAGTGCATATTTTATGCTGGGAGGTTCTAAAAAGTTGTCTTCTTTTCCAGGGAGATTAGTGATCTAAGAAACCCCGGATTTCGTTTCCCCAATTATGCAAATATGTCAAGCATAGAGAAGCTGTGAGTTTTCTGTTTGATGTTACATATAATTAAGATGTTATCAGGTCAAACTCTGTTGCCCTGTTCCTAACTAATCTTGAGGTCAAACTCTGTTGCCCTGTTCCTAACTAATCTTCATGATTTCTGGTTTCATTAATAGACCTCAAAATATCCTTCACTGCCACACAAGTTAAAAAAATGATCCCTGGTTTCATCTTCATGATTTCTGTAGGGTACTAAGGAACGGCTCAATAACCGGTCGAATCCCACCGTACATTGGTGATTGGTCTTGGTTAAAATATCTGTCAGTTTCTTCTCTCTCTTATAGAACAACTGTAGTTTGTCAATTTGCTTCATTTGCTTTCAACTTCTGCTCATTGTACAGAGCTAATTATGCGATAATGGAATGATCAAATCTGTAGGATACTGATTGCTTTCATATTTTGTCCTGCAGAGACTTGAGCTTTAACAACTTAAGTGGTGGAATCCCATATTCCATGAAGAAGCTAAATTTAAGTAAGATGTATGTGAAGGAGATTGCTTGAACTCAATTAATTTATCTTATACTCTATTATAAAAAAAAAAAAAAACAAATGGGGATGTTTTCATATTGGTGTGTTTTGCTTAGGTTTCTCAGAAGAAATAAGCTTGAAGGCACAATACCTTCCTTGCTTCCCGGTCTCGTTCAAAATAAAGCGTATGTCTGATAATCACAAATTTCAATGCTCTCCCTCTGTAGATCTCTTCAATAGATTCTTGATCTGGTTTTTGATAAAACAAAATGTTGCAGGGGTCTGTCGTATAATAATTTTAAAGTCATAGAGGGTGATCAACTGGGAAAGCTAAAAATGTAATAAGTGCAGTTTCGTTTTTCTTTGGCCAGTTTTCTTACATATGAAATTTCAATCAGTGATGTTCTTAATCATGTGGAATTGTTTCCATGCATGTTGTTGCTGCTCAAGTAGTCAACCAACTAGGTATGTTACTTATATCCTCGATATCGTGCAATTAGAACAAAGTAGTCTGATCTATTTCTTACAAATTTTATTTGCTTTATCTAGGAATTCTATATTGAAAGATAGATGTCGGGGAAAACCAAAGTGTAAGTTCTATGGAGAAGCTTGCGTTGGAGAGTATTTTTGGGCTCTCCAAGTCATTCACCAAGATTTTTGCTTAATCCGAGTATCTGACCTTTGAAATGGAACAGCTTATGAGTTTGTTTACCTCTTCTATTCTGAGGAAAACCAATTCCATCTTGGAGATTTTAATACAGAACACACGTTTTTCTATACTGATTATCGGTTTATGCAGACAATTCCTTGTATATAAATTGTGGAGGCTCGGAAACAGAGTTTCAAGGGAATCTGGAAGAGGGAGATAGTTCAACATCAGATTTCTATAACACTTCAAAAGGAAATTGGGCTTATTCTTGTTCTGGGGACTTCGGTTCTAAAACTGCCGATTCAAGTGATTACATAAAAAACGTGGCATGTACTGGGGCTCGTAATTCTCCTCAGAAAGAATTATAAAACTCAAGTCGCCTCTTCCCTCTTTCTCTGACATATTTTGGGTTCTATTTATTTAAGGGAAATTATACTGTGAAACTTCACTCTGCTGAAACTGTTTTCATCAAAAAGACCTTGGGGAGCCGTGTTTTCGACGTCTACATACAGGTAAAAGTCTTATTTTGTGCAGCCTCTATAAAAAATTACCATCATATTTTCAAGAACTACGTTCTCTTACAGGGGGAGAGAAGACTCAAAGACTTCACTATAACTGAAAAGGCTAGGGCCTCAGGAAAGCCAATGACCCGAAATTTCATGGCAAAGGATCTTTCTACGAGTATTTTAGCGTCCCCAAATCTTCTTCACTGGCTTTCAATGGACCTCTTGTATCAGCCATTTCTGTAACCGCAAGTAAGAAGTCGCACTTTTCTTAAGTTTGTTGGAGCACGGATTTCTTTTTGCTCTTTCTATTATATCTCGTTGGGTTATATTTTTACCAATTAGTCTTTATATGATTATATTATTATATTTTATGGTGTTATCAAGTACTTCAGGCACCAAGCTCTTCTCTTCAATCAAATCCATACTGTCTTAAAGAAATATTTCATATTTTATGGTGTTGTCAAAACTAATATATAGTAGCACATTTGATCAAAGAAAAGCCTTTTGAGTTTGAAATTTATTTGCGTCTACCACTGCATTGTAATGAAATTTAATTTAATTAAAGAGAATGGGTGTGGTGAGTGTAATCTGAGTGTAATCTCTTTAGACTTGGAACCTTCACAAGCACAGTGTTCCCGTTTGCTTAATTTTAATGTAATTACATAGAATGAAAGGTTCTAATTAATACGTTATTAAATTAGGACTTCAAAGTTGGCAAGGGCAAGAAGCTATCTCCTTCACAAATTGCAGGGATTACAGTAGGTTCAGTATTTGCTCCTCTGTTTATACTGGCTATCATGTGGAAAATGGGCTGGCTAGGGAAAAGCGAGTTGGATGGTTCGTCTCTATGGTAATTTAATATCATTAAGCAATACACTACCTTGAAGAATTCTTACTTTGATGCTTTCTGCAAATAGAAATAATTGTAGAGGTCCAAGGAAGATCTTTCACCCTCAAACAAATAACAAACGCAACTCGAAATTTTAGCCCCAAAATGGAGACTGGTAGAGGACGCTTCGGAACAGTTTACAAGGTTAAAAGTTTTTCTTACATTTTTTCGAACATTTCTGCCTGAAGGAAAACGGTCATCTTTTAAAGCTCTCTTGAATTAATTTCATGTGGATACAGGCTGAATTGTCAGATCAGATTAAATTACCAGTGAAGAAGATTTCCCCTCAAACAAAGCGAGGAAAAGATGAATTACAAAGGGAAATCTACAACCTGAAATCCCTGCGCCATGAGAATCTCGTTTAATTATTAGATGGCTATTATAAAAACGGCCTACATCTGCTAGTGTATGAGTACATGGAGAAGGGCTCCCTTCATCACACTTTGTTTGGTAATATTTCCATCACCCAATTTTCAGCCTACATTTTTCAGTTCTGATCAGTTGTTTAAAATGACGAATAACCCTTGTCTCTCAGCTATTTCCCTTCCAACGGTTCCATGTATGACAATAAGAATCAACAATCCTAACATATATGCATGTTATTTGTTTATCCAATGCTGCTTATGTAATCCTTCAAGATTAAGCAACTTTTTGACTGCTAAGTCTTGATTTGTAGAACCAAATTCCACAACAAAACTTGATTGGAAAGCTAGATATGATATCTGTTTGGGAATAGCAAAAGGTTTGAAGTATCTACATGAGGAGAAAAGGTTCAAGATTGTTCATGGAAACATAAAAGCTAGTAATACTATGCTTGATAAAAATCTTACTGCCAAGTTATCTGACTTTGGATTGGCAATGCTTTATGACGAGGAAGATCCATTTATGACTATCAAAGCAAAAGGATTGCGGTAAGTATTATGATCAATGAATGATATTTAATTTGGTTTTAAGTGGGCCTAACCAAAATTCTCTCATTGTAGAGTTTAGATGGCACCCGAGTACGCAATGGGAAATGCAATAATAGTTAAAGCTGATGTTTATAGTTTTGGAGTAGTAGTACTCGAAATAGTTAGTGGAAAAACTGGTGCAGAATATAAACCCAATCAAGAAGCTGATTTTCTTCTAGATATTGTAAGTGAATTTGACAACATTAAGCCCTCTTAGCTATTAGTATATCAAATATGTTCTGTAAAACATTAGATGTGTGAATTCTCCTATAAACTTAAAGCTAATCCTGCTTTGTTATTGCAGGCCGGTGTTCTGTTTGAAAAAGGAAGGATTCTTGGCTTGGTTGATAAGAAATTATCATCTAGTTACGACCGAAAACAGGCCCTCATTCTTTGGCACTTAGCAATGAAATGTGGTAATCTATCTCCTACTCTCGGGCCTAAAATGTCCGAAGTCATCGGTGTACTTACATGTGAGAAAAGCATTCAACGGATTTCCCAAGGCCATACTCCCTCGGAAAATATTATAGGTTTGTGTGATGCATCTTCCGAGGTGCCGGATCCGGAAATAAACCCAACTCCTTAGCCAAGTAGAAATCATTATGAGACTAGGTTTATTTGTTAAAGACTAATATAAATTATATTCCGAGGTTTCACTTATAAGCTTAAGCTTTTAGGTGGGATGATCCTTTAATATGGTATCAAAGCTTGGTTGACCATGTGGTCCCGAGTTCAAGTCTCACCATCTCTAATTTCTCAATTATTAAGCACAAGGCAATGTGGACTCGTGCAAGTTTCAAGCTCAAAGTGTTGGGGTTTTCACTTAAGAGGGTGTGTTAGAGACTAATATAAATTATATTTTGGGGCCTCACTTATAAGCTTAAGCTTTTAGGTGAGATGGTCTTTTAATATTATTGGTGATGTTATTTTTGGTTTGGAAAACCTTATGCCTTTTTAAAGAAAAATTAATACCGTATAATGTAGGTCTTGGGTCTCATTGTGTGTTCGTGACAAGAGACCGTTGTGTGCTTAAGAGACACTATATGTATGTTTGTGAATTAAATAAAATTGTCGAAGACCATGTTTTTTATTTCCTTTTGATGATATATTTTATTGACCAAAAGCGAGACAATAAGAAAGTGGCTAAGAAAATATGGAAAGAAAGCAAAAGAAGAATTATAACCAAGTAAGAAACTTGTGAGGTCAATCTAAGGTTTGTTTAGCTAAATAGTCCATTTTCTTCCTTTAATACATGGATGAAGCTAGCTAACGGATTTCGAAACGTTAGCCCATAAAGGAATGGAGTTAAAAACACTATGTTATATGTTCTCTTTAATTGATTGCATTTGATCACGTGTTGTCACTAAATTTTTTCGGTCAAATTAATAGGGAGGAAGATTATTGGTATAACCTTAGCCATAAGAATCTCTTCAATGGAGTTGAAACTGTTAAGAACTTTTCTTAACAAAGCTAAACTCGTACGAAGAAAGTTAGGGAGAGAAGAAGAAGAAGAAGTATGGGGTGAGAGAGAGAGAATTCCTCAAGAATCAATTCCGTTATTAGTCAATCAATGAAACTCCAAACTAACGGTTATAGCCTTTAATAGTGTACCTAATGTCGAGCTAGCTTAACTAACAAATGCCATGTCATAAAATCGGTTATAACTACTTACCTAGTCAACCATTTAGTTACAACGGAATCCACATCACCAACTAGTCGTTACTATCACTATAGCCTATGCGCCCAAGTCACTCGTAGCTCCCACACCTACTTCGACCTAGCTCATACGTCCGTTATTGTTGCTCACACGCCTATACGTTTGTGATTTATGAAATCGTGACAATACCCCCTCTCCAACGGATCCTTGACCTCAAGGGTCAAAGTAGAAGTCAAGAAACTAAGTCTCCAAATCCTCCAATACCTCCCAAGTGGCATCATCCACGGACATACCTACCCATTGGATTAGACCCATGACCACGACTTGATTATTCTTTTTCATAAACTTTCTTTCCAATACTACAACAGGATAAAGAGTAAATTGGCCTTCGACATTCATAGGAGGCAAGTCCGTATTAATCACAACATTATCTCTCACCTTCTTTTTCAAGAGGGAAACATGAAAAACTCGGATGAACTAAATAATGAGGTGGCAAGTCTAATTTGTAAGCTACCCGCCCCACCTTCCGCAAAATCGCATATGGACCAAAATACTTGGGATTCAGACTTGAAATTTTTCCTCAATGCCACACTAGTCCGCCTATATGGTTGAAGTTTGAGATATACTTGATCCCTTACTTTAAACTCCCTTTCAGTTCTTCTTTTGTCGACCAACTCGCTTTATTGGTGCTAAGCTTTTCCTAACTAAGCACCTAAGAACGGATACATAGCTCGTATTTCCCACACAATCTCCTTAACGACAGCAGTAGGCGAAGTGCCATGTAAGATGAGCTCTCTTAGGGTGGAGGGTACCCATTTAAAGCTCGAATTAGAGACATCCGAATGGCTAAATGGAAACTGGAGTTATACCACCATTGAGCCACATGCGACCACCTATGCCATTTTCTTGGGCAGCCCATACACATGCACCTTAGGTATGTTTTTAAGCACCGATTAAGCCTCTTAGTTTGGCCATTGGTCCAGGGGTGATAGGTCGAGCTCATACAAAGTTTAACCCCAAAGGATTTGAATAATTCCTTCTAAAACACACTCGGTGAAGACCCTATCTCTATCTATGACAATTGATGCCGATAAGCCATGCAACTTGTAGATCTACTCTAAGAATACATTAGCCACATCCTTAGCTAAAAATGGATGAGATAGGCCAAGGAAATGGCAATACTTCGTGAACTCCGTCCACCACCACTAAAATGGTATTTTTTTCCCTCCGACTTAGCCGACCCCTTAATGAAATCCATAGAGATATCCCTTCATGCCCCGCCGGAATTGGTAGAGGCTATAATAGACTCGGATAAGCAACCCTTTCGATTTTGCCCTTATACACATATCATGCATAGCTTATCTTTTCCTTAATCATCATTTTTATAGCCGGCTAATAGAATGCATGCTTAAGCCTTCTATATGTATTTTGAACACGTACATGACCTCCAATTACGGATCGGTGCACGACCTATATCAATTATGCTCTTAACTCCTAGTCGACCCCAATGTAAACTCGTTGCTTATACCTCGGCATGCCTTGAAAATAAGATAATTGAGGAAGAGAATGAGCTTGAAGCTCCTTAGCTTTAATGACCTTCCGTGCCTTAGCATCATGGGCATAAGACCGTTTGACATTCGGATACCAAGTAGGAACCAAAGTGGTGATAGCATAGAGGTGGTCCCATTGAAGATTTTCAACGAGTCTTAGTGTTATGGACCATGCGAGACAAGGCATTAGCTACAATGTTTTTCTTCCCTTTTCAATAATGAATTTCAAAACTCAATCCCAACAACTTAATCAAACCCTTCCTTTGAATAGGAGTGTGAATCTATTGTTCCAAGAGGTGTTTGAGGTTTTCATGATCGATCTTGATGATGAATTTATCAGCCTACAAGTAATACCTTCACTTGTCTACTCGCTATAAAGATAGCTAAATACTCTTATTCATAGATTGACATCCCTCGATGTCGAGGGCACAAAGCCTTGCTAAAGAAGGCCAATGGTCCGCCCTTTTAAGATAACACAACTCCTACCCTTTTGCCACATGCATCGGTTTCTCGGATGAAAGGCTCGTGAAAGTTTGGAAGTGCCGATCGAGGCATCACATAACTTCCTTTTTAACTCCTCAAAAGCTCATTGAGCTTATTTAGTCCGAAGAAATTATTCTTCTTTAACAAATCGGTTAGTGGTTTAATCATTAAACTATAACTTCGATGAATTCTTGACCGATTGGGGAGTTGGACGAGTTACTCACGACTTTAATCTTTCTTGGATTAGTTACTACACTAGCACCTAAAATAATATGGCCCAAGTACTCCACCCGACTTTGACATAAGGTGCACTTAGATCTCCTCG